CTGCCCATGCATATCTCCAGAATCTATGCACTTGACTGAAAAGGATGGCCTTATATGTACAGGAGGAAGCGTTGTCACTGAAAGGTATATGAACACCACACTTCTCTCCCAGATTCCAAGATCCATTTGTAGTTTAGAGAGGATAAGTGGGGCTGAGGACTTTTGTGCAGGGAACAAGCTGGCAAGGTAGGAAGAAATTCACCAGAAACACCAGGGCAAAAATATTTACATTATATAGACGTATAAATATAGGAAAAATGTTTTTATTTGTGTGTGTGTGTGTGTGTGTACACACATGCTCACAGACACACAGCAACTTGGAATCAGTTAAATGCTCAAGCAGGGACAGTTTAAAGAGCAATCAATTCATAGATACGTAAGGTACACATAAAAAGGAGTAGGAAAAAAAAGCCTTAAACGTGGAAGGTACTCAGTAAATGTTCAATGAATTGGGGCAGAAAGACCAGCCATGAGATGCTTGCAATCTATAAGGCAATGAAGACCAACATGGTGCCAGGAAAGCAAGCCACTGGAGAGGGCTGCAGTGTGCACTGGCTTTAGAATAACACAGAAACTGATAGCTTCTAAATTACTTCCTGTCAAATATTTGCTTCTTTCTACATAAAGATGAGTACATCAAAAGAATTTAGTTTATTACAGTCTCACTGGAATACAGAGCCTATTTAGAAACAGAATTCAGACAACTGCATATAATACCACAGGCTTGGAGTGTTACAAAAACTGCAATGTTACCTACATATTACTGGTTAGAGTCTTACGTACTTTGGCTTCCCTTACCTGCTCCAGGCTACTTTCAGTGAGAGGGCAGAACGGGACAAAGAAGATTACCCTTCCTGACTTCTCCTCCTTCTTTTCCACATCTGTACCCTCTGGGCTACTCTTATGTCTTCCCCACAGGCCTATTTAGCAACATAGGATCTGAAAAGGCCAAAACCCTAGACTAAAAATATTAATGTGAAACACACTAAAACACGATATTGGCCCTTCCCTTATGTTTTCCAATCCTGTTTTGTCCCCACTAGTTTTGATTACCATGCCAGGGTTTTTTTTTTTTTAATGTTTCACATGAAATTCTGCACTTTTTTTGTTCCAGTATGATGGGGAACATATACACTCAGGCACCACAGAAAATCACAGAACAGCTGTGGGATGATGCATTTGTCAGGGAGAATAAAATGCTTAGCAGCAGACAGAAGAACTGAGTGGAGAATGGAAAACCTTTTGTTTTCCCTATGATTTTGATAGGCCAGAAAATGATAGGACATTTTCATCACAGGGTATTTTCATATTTGTCCAGGGTCTTGGTCAAGTGCATAATACACAAACCTGAGGAAACAAATTTGTCTCAGAAGATGGGACTTCAGTTTTTATTCACTGTTGTCACTTTTATGAGTTCATTGCATGGGGGGAAACCTCCACAAGCTCAGAGGGAGTTCTACCATCAGGTATTTACTCACGTCGGTCCAGAAGGAGGATAGGTTGATTTTCTGCAGTCTTCTGTCCACTAAATAACAAAGACAATGAAAAGTTTCAGAAAACAACAAATCAAACAGGCAATCTGCAGAAACAGCTAAAGTTTGTGGAGACAAAAATTAAGTACAATTCGCCCTTTTAGCCCATTTCAATGTCTCTTAAAAGTCTTTTCCTCCCATGAAGACTTGTAACATCTCAAACTTCAGTGCATTTTCAGTCTCAATTCAATTTGCACTATTTGCCAGGTACTGTAATTTGGCTTTACTAATGCAAATACACCGAGTAAAGAGGAAATGTAAAAAAGTAGATGGAAAACGTTTATGACAGCTAGGTTGATTTACCACTGAAAGGAAATAACTTGATAGGATGTGATATTACTTGAACTTAGGAGCCAATTCTTTTGTAAGAGATTTGCATCCTAAACCAGATTTTCAGGGCACGCTGTGCAGGGCCCTCCATAATCTGGCTCCAAATCACCACCA